GGGCTCTGAAAGAGGGAGCTGGACATTTTCTCCTACTTCAAACTCTCGCTAAGGCCCAGACCAAGGCAGAGGCAGAGGCAGAGGCAGAGGCAGATTTAAGGCTGTATAGTGTCAGAGGTGAAAAGGACCTTAGAAATCACCTCCTCATTGAGCAGACAAGGAAACTGAGGCCCAGAGGAAATTGTGAAAGATTCAACATATATATATTTAGTATATACATACTACTATTCTAATAATCATGTACATTATAAAACAAAAATTTAGAAATTTAAAAAGAGTGAACTAAAGCTGAAATAATATCTGAGCATCGATAGGGAGCTATTAGAGTTTATTGAGTAGGAAGAAGAGATTGGTAAAGAGAGCTGGGACTGGAACCCAGATCTCCTGATTCCCAAGGCCAGTCGGCTCCAAAGTAGAGGCCCATATCCTTTGCTGGGCTGTGGCATTACGCTGAAGGAGGCCCTGACTGACCCCTAGGGGGATGTGATTAGCCATTTGGAGAATAGATTTTCTTGTTGTTGTTCAGTCAAGTACAATTCTTCATGACCTCATTTGGGGTTTTCTTGGCAAAGATACTGGAGTAGTTTGCCATTTCCTTCTCCAGCTCATTTTACAGATGAAGAAACTGAGACAAACAGGGTTAAATGACTTGCCCAGGGTCATATAACTAGTGAGCTCCTGAGGCCAGATTTGAACTCAGAAAAATAAGGCTTTCTGACTTCAGGCCTAGCCCTTTATCCACTGAGCCACCTAGCTGACTTTGGAGGGTAGAAAGTCAGGTCAAATCCAAGAGTACCTGCATTAGCCAATCAAAAACCAGTTATAGCAGTTATTGCCAACATAATCCCATCTACCCTTATCCTCCAATACTCTTCCCCCTCCCTCTGCTGTTCAAGCTCCTTTTCTTCCTTCTTCTGATCCTGGAATTAACTAGTCAAGGTAGTTATCACCTAAAATAGTTGCTACTTACAGCAGCTGGGCAGCTGTCATTGGAAACATTCCACCTCATCCCATGCCCCGAAGATCACCCCGTGGCTACAGCAGGTACCCCTGAGAGGGCAGGCTCTGTGCTCTGGGGCAAAGAGTAGTGAGTAAGAGCCCTGCCTCTACCATCTTTTTTTTTTTATTTTGATGGGTGCTGAGGGAATCACATGAGATGAATGGGCTTGGATGGACTATACTTTGCATTGCAGACATCATTACATTATTTGTCCTCTGAAACCCACCCATCTTCCAAACTTCCTCTCACTGTAGAGGGCACAGTATCCTTGCAGACATCCAATTTTTCATCACTTTGGTGACATCTTTAACTCCTCTCTCTCCATCTCACACATCAATCAGTTGCTGATCTTGCCAAACCTCTACATCTCTCATATCTGTCCCCTTCTCTCCACCCTAATATTGGGAAGTAAGGAGATCATAAATTGTGAAGGCTAGAAGAAGCCTTCGAACACGGAGTGTCAGAGCTTGAAGGAGCTTAGGGATTATAAAAGTCAATCCTTTTATTTTATGGAGGAGAAAACTAAGACCCAGGGATGAAGGATGAGGAGGAAGAGAAGTTTGGGGAGGACATTCCACACACGGGAGCAATGTGAAAAGGAGAGATTCAAGTCCCAACAGGGACAGTGAGGAGACCAGGCTGGTATGTGTTGGTATGTATTAAAGGCCAGATTGAAGAGATAGAAAGAGTCAGATTGAAGCAGGTCTTTTATGACCAGGCAGAGAAATTTGGATTGGATGCTATAGAAAAGAAATGGACCATCAGGGTAGAGAAGAGACTGGAAACCATGTTATCCAAGGATTAATTGAAGGTCCTGGGAATGTTCAGTCCAGAAAAGAGAAGACTTGGGTGTTGCATGGGGGGACTATCTTCAAATATATAAAGCTCTGTCAGATGAAAGATGCAGCTATTTTGTTTGGCCCCAAAGGGTGAAAATAAGGGCCAAAGCTGGGAGTAAAGTTACAAGGAGGCAGATTTCAACTCAATATTATGCTGTCCCTAACACAAGGATGACCTGGGTTCATAGCCTACATCTGACATTAATTTGCTCTGTGACCATGGGCAAGTTACCTAACCTCTCTGAGCCTCAGTTTTCTCACCTATAAAAATGGGGATAATAATATTTGTAATATCCACCTCATAGGGTTGTGAGACTCAAATAAGTCAAGTGATCTATAAACTTTAAGGCATTACGTAACTATTAAAACTATCCAATAATGGAATGGGCCTATCTTAGGAAAAAATGAGTTCCCGGTCACTAAAAGTATCCAAATAGAAGCTGCCTGTCAGGTCTTCTATCATGGGTGATGCAGAAGGGATTCCTGCACTGAGAGAGAGTTGGACTAGAGATCTCTGGGGTTCCTTTTAGCTGTGAGATTTTAGGGTCTAAGGCTAAGGAGTCATTATATGTAACCCTTACCTCTACATACTAGATATATATGTGTAGTATTCCATTACTTTGTTTTGCTATACCATTATAATGTTGATAATCAGGACAATAAGCAGATGAAGAAGAGAGTCCAGATGTAAACTTAGGCAATTTGGCCACAACTCATCCTGTCCAGTTCTAGTCATTGAGTACAACCATTTATAGTTGAAGAAACCAAGGTTCAGTGACATGTCCAAGGTCATTACAGACCATAAGCACAGAGGTAGGCTTTGAAATTTGGTCCTGACCCTAAATCCAAATCCCATGCACAGGTTCTCTAGTAGAGAAGTGATAAGATCAGAGTCCCCCTAATGTCTGTCCCCTTCCACTGCTGGAAGCCAAAAGCTTGACTTAACTGGGAATGTAGCCAGTGCTCAGTGAAGGTTGCCATGAATCTGCCATCCTAGCACTATGCTGATCTTCTTAGTTCAAACATTCCCCACTTGCCTTTGAATAAGCTTATGGTCTACCCTGATCATCCCGCTCTTCATCTTACCTCTAGTGTGGCCCATAGTACCTGAATCAACACTTTTCCCTCCTTGACTTTCACTGAACTAGGCTGAGAACCCTAATCTTGCTGCCTAATATGGCCTCATCAACATGGCCAACATGGTCATGGCCAGTTACTAAGTGCAGGGAGAGGCAGACCTGTGTAAAAAGTGCCAGGGGATTTCCTTTGGAGTCTTCCACTACTTGTGTTCTTGTCCTGATTCTGTCGCTGACTTGCTATGTGACCTCAATCATGTCATGTCCCCTCTCTGAACTTCAGTGTTCTCCTCTATAGGATTCTAAGGTCCCCATCAGTCTTGATATCCTATGACCATGATTATGTTCAAATAAGAGCTTTATATAGAGGACCTATCCTCAGAACCTCAGCACAGAGAGTTGAGCATGAAGAAATAGAGCTAAATGTCAAGGGTCAGAAATCTCATCCTACCTTTGAATTCCTGGAGTCAATGAGTCAGCTGGTATTTCTTAAGCACCTACTATGTGCCAGGCATTGTGCTAAGTGCTAGAGATACAAAGAAAGGTAAAAAATAGTGCCTGCCCTCAAGGAACTTACACTCTAATGAAGGTATTCTGGATCTTCAAATGGAAAGGACCTTAGAACGTAAAATATTGGGGCTGGCAGAGATGCAAAGGACTTCAGAACCTTTGGCTATAATTCTCCCTCACACTCCATTCCAGTTTTCGACTTCTCATGGAGCATCCCCATTCGTTATCTCATTTTATGCTATAGACAGCACTGTGAGGGAAGGACAAGGGATGGTATTATTAACACTCTTTTTTTTTTAAAGGCAATCAGAATTAAGTGACTTGCCTAGGGTCACACAGCTATTAAGTATCTGAGGTAGAATTTGAACCCAGGTCCTCCTGACTCCAGGGCTGGTACTCTATCTACCAAGCCACTTAGCCACCCCATTATTAATATCTTTTGAGAGAGGAGACAAATGAGGTTCAGAGAATGGAAGGGATTCACCCCAGACCACCAAGCCCCTTGGTTACAACCCTGGGAAGTTCTTGATATCAGAGGGAAGGGTTCTATCCTCCCTTTGTGAAGAATTTCCCCCTCCCCCACTTCTGTGCTTTGTGCAGTGGGGAGGGTGCCCTGGTAACACCCATTCTCTGGCCTCCAGGGCCAGTCCAGAAGAGCATGACAAGGACAGAGAGCTAGGGCCAGAGGTACAATGGACAATGCACCTGTCTATGGATCACAGCATTACATGATTAGTTCTTTGTTCACTCAGGTGTTACTTTGTTTTTTCTTTTATCTTTTTTTCTTTAGACGTAACAGTTCAGCAGTGAAGCACCAGATCTGAAGTTAGATAACCTGGTCTTGACTCTTACTCCGTTACTTTCAAGTTGCGTGACTTGGGGTGAATTATTTCCCTTTCTAGCCTTCATCATCCTCAAAATAAGATGGCTGGGCTAGATGATCTCTGGAGTCCTTTCTAGCTCTGTCTGTGATCTCACTGTCATCCTTGTGCAGCTCTGCCTCAGTTCAACCCAATCCACAGTCGAGGCATTATTACCCTCATGATGTCACTGGTCTTCATCAAGAACAAAGGATGAACAACAAAATAGCACCACCAGCAGCAACAGCAACACCAATGGGGGTGGCGGCATGGGGAAACTGGATGCTTACTTAAGCAAAGTATTAGTGAATGGGAATTTGGGGGGAGTTTTGTGGAAACGAAAGACAACACAGAGCCTATGACCAAATAACCCAAATTTTACGATAAGGTATTGTACACACCCCCATAAAAGAAAAAGAAAAAATTCATACTTTTTCTCTGGTATGAAAGGGGGACCAAAAATTTTTATGCAGATTTTCCAAATGTGGGGGCACTGTGTCCCTAAGTCCCTTGATGTGGAAAGGATAACTATAATTGTAAAGTGCTTAGCACAGTGCCTGGCACATAGTAAGCACTATATAAGTGTTAGCTGTTATTATTATTATCATAGCATTTTTCAAACCTTCAAGCAATATATAAATGCTAGCTGTCATCATCACCCTCATTTCAGGGTCTGCACTAGGGGAGGGAAAAAGAGAAAGCCAATACATAAGACTACTGTTTCCATAGTTGATTTATTAAAGGATAGGTTTTATAGTCCACCAAGACCTCAGAAGGCTAGAGACAGGAGGGTGAGGGGTCCCAAGACACATTAGGTCCCAAGGTATAATAGGTCCCAAGACATATTCCCAGCTTTCTCTTATTGTATAAGAGAAATCCCCCATCTGATGGGTGTTGAAGTACTCTTCGTTTTCAATGGTTCTGTGATGGTATTTGGTGGGGGGCAAGGCTCCTAGATCAAGATGTATGTTCCTATTGCTGCTGTTTTCAGAGCTAAGATTTGGGACAATTGAATACCAAATACCGAGTATGTGTACGCATAAATGTACGTGCATATATATTTTACATGTGAATTATAGTAACCAATTAATATAGATATGAGTCTTTCCAGGGAATTCTGCCTCTGAACTGCCTGACCTTGGCCTTGGGTTGTTTTCTCCAATGAGGAGTGAAGGCCTTAGGCTGGAGGTGCTTCTAGCTTTTTCTCTGAGGATTACACATGTGAATGCTAACTCAGATTCTACGAGGGATAAGGATGCAAAGATTCTAACATGGAGAAAAAGGACTCAATTATGAATATTAATTAATATTAATTGGCTGCTATCATATATGTGCATAAATGTGTGGGTGCATGCATGTCTCCTCTAGCAAGCAATATCAATTCATTCATATTCATCAGAGGAAGGATGGCAATCACAGGTAGAGAATCCTAGTAAGCAAATATGTTTTCATGCCTGTCATAAGCAGATGTATAGAAACCACAAAGCAGACACCATGTGGTCACAGTGAAATGGCCCACATAACACCAGAACAACCGATAGCCCACCCCGATTCCCTCCCCACAGGGCCAGTACTTCATATTGCACTAAAGCTTGGGGTAAGGGTTATTCCAACAGTGATTCACTGAGTATATACTATATGCTAAGCTCTGTACTCAGGCTGAAAGGAATACAGAGAAGAACATAGGGTCTTTCAGTCTCTGGGAGTTATTGGTGACAAGCCCTGGATATGAGAGCTACTCCCCTACTTCCTGGAGAGAGTGAGTCCTAATGGCAGAGAACATTGTCTTCATGGAGTCCGGGTCTACAGGGTCCAACTTCAGCTCAAGGGCAGAAATCAGTCTAAGGAGAGAAAACCAGAGCAGGGCTTTGAAGTTCTAAACTATGCCCCCTTTCCCCCACCCCCAATCCGGCACTGGCTCTCTCAGTTGCTAGTCTGTCCATCCAAAGAAGATGGAGGGACAGGACACCCTGAGATCATGAATTCCAGCATTAAGTGTACAAGAAAAAGGCATCAAACTGTATCTAGTACTGGATAAAGAGAAATTCGTTATAGAAGATGTGAGTTTTCTTGCAGGGACCTAGGATTTGCAGCAGATCCTGCAAATAGTTTTAGAGCATGCAAAACTGAATCCACTACTCCTTTCCTTCTTTCACCCAGCCACTGCATACTTTAGTGGTCAATCAGTAGTGACAATCTAATCAATTAAAATCATGGTTGATGAGAGATTCTGATTGACGGTTTGTTGTTGTTTGCTCGTTTCAGTTGTATTCAACTCTTTGTGACCCCATTTAGGGTTTTCTTGGCAAAGTGACTAGAGTGGTTTGCCATTTCCTTCCCCAGCTCATTTTACAGATGAGGAAACTGAGGCAATAGGGTTAAGTGATTTGCTCAGGGTCACACAGCTTGTAAGTGTCTGAGGCCAGATCTGAACTCAGGAAAATGAGCCTTCCTGACTCCAGGCCTGGAACTCTATCCACTGTGCAACCTAACCACCCAATTGACAGTTTAGGCAGCCAATATAGCTTCATCCTGTGTTGGCTGGTTAAATGTCAACAGACAGCTAGGTGGTGCAGTGGATAGAGGGCAAGGCTTGGAATCAGGTAAGACCTGAGTTCAAATCCTGGCTGTGTGACCCTGAGCCAGTCACTTAGCCTCAGTTTCCTCAACTGTAAAATGGGGAAAATAATAGCATCTGCCTCATAGGATTGTTGTGAGGATCAAACAATATAATATTTATAAAGCGCTTAGCACAGTACCAGGCATATAGTGGGTATTTAATGAATACTTCTTTCTTTCCTAGATCAGAAGATGAAGGTCCAAGGCAGAAATCAAAGTACTAGGAAGATAAACCACTGCTCAGGAAACACTGGGCATTGGGGAATTCTCAGAAGACCACTTAGTTTGTCGTAAGTTTCAAAGAATTTAGCCCTAGAAGGAATCTTCCAAACAATCTAGTCCAACACCCTCCTTTTTAGGGGGAAAAATGTGGCCAGAAACGTGAAGTGCCTGAGGAAGGTCATTCAGGTAGCAAGTGCCACAGCTGGGATTTCAACCGGATCCTTCGGGTCCAGATCCCATGCTCATTCCACGAGCCAACATCGCTTCACCTTAGCACCCGGAAATGAACTGTGGGAAGGATGTCTCTAAAGCGAGCACTGGCTGAACAGTGGCTCAGGAGATGGCAGGCTTTGCTTGGGAGGAGGGCCCCCCACCCCACCCATGCAACTGCCCACTCATATAGGACGCAGAGAGAAAGCTCCTGGGTCAGAGAATGAGGGGAAGGGAGATCTGGTCCAAGGGTTCTGCATGGGTGTGAGGGCCAAGGGCATTGAACAATGGGAACAGCTAGATGCTATTCGTTTGGGGGAGGGGTGGGCTGAAATCACATAGATTCCTTATCTTCCGAGGACATGTAGATGTCCCTCTGCATCCCCTTACACCACTTCGAGGGGGCCTAGTATTTCCTTTACCCTTCACAGTGACTGTGTTACACTGGCCCGGGAGTTTGGGGTGTTTCCCTGGCTTTGATTAAAATGGAGAGGGAGGAAAATTCCCCAGATTGCATTTCCTACTGGGGCCAGGGGTCTTACCCCAGCTCCCAATCCTGGAGTCAGATGGAATCTCTGTTCCTTCTTTCTACTCCAGCAGGCTCAGACCTAGGTTCAGAGGCCTCTAGAGCTGTGACTCATCAGCTTGAGTCTGGTCTCGCCTTCCGTCTTTGGCCTCCCCAGCCTCGATTCTAAAGCTTTTGGCCTCTCTTCCTTCCCTCTCTAAAGCTGGTCTGTCCTTCTCTCCTGTGGTCTCCCCAGTCTCACTCTCTGGGGTCTCTTTTCCTCCTTGCCCATAATTCTGATCCAGCCAAGGTTTCCTCATTTCAGGCTTTAATATCCTCAGGGCTCACGCATTAAAAGCCCCAGTGGTAATCACAATATTTCTGCTTCGTTGGACACTGCTCAGCATTGTGGTGCTAGCTGGTTTCAGCATGAATAGAGTGGAAGGAATCTAAGGAAAGGTAGGCAAGTCCCAGCTTTCTTGGATCCTGGAGAAAGTGTGAGAATGGGAACTAGCCTTGTACTTCCATCCATGCCCATGGCCAGGGCACCTGCCTAGAAGACTAGACCCTGGCTGAGTACTCTATATGTTTTGTTCCCACATTCCATCCCTGAGGCAAAGTACCAGTCACATCAGGAAGGAGTCCTGGGGCTGGAGCTCTGAGACTGAAAAATCTCCCATGGACAGTCCTATTTCCCAGGATGATTGGTTTGGTGATTGGGGGTGGAAGGGGCAGAGGGAGGCGGTGCAGGACAGAAAGAGACATGGAGAAGAGAGAGATACAGAGAGAAAGAGAGAATCCCTTTGGGATTCCAGCTCTGAGGTTAAGATAAAGGGATAAATAAAGGGAAAAGAGGAAAGAAGGGGACTGAGCACCCTCCATACCTGTCACTGGAGCTGTGCAGACCTTCCCACACAGGCCCTGACAGCACTTCATGTTGCCCTGACAGTGCCCATCATCTTCACACTGGTTTGGGGTCAGACAAAGGCTCGTCTTAGGTGGACACTGCCCTGCCTTTGTTGGAGCTAACAAAGATAAGACCAGGACAAGTCAGTCTCTAGGATGCATCTCTTCAGCTCACTTTCTACTGGATGGGCCAACCACAGGGCATCCCTATCTGGTCCCAGAGTAATCTGATACAATCCAAATTTGGAGCTCCTATCTCCTGCCCTGATGGGCAGGCTGACCCCACAGCATCTCTCTCCAGTGCGAGGAGGCCTGCCATAGCTAACATCTGGAACCTCATCACAGCCCACATCTTAAGCCTTCAGTTCCCACCTTCCTAGGGAGAAATCTCCCTTTCCCCTCCTGCTCCCAGCAGTCTCAGACCTAGAAGATTCTAGGACTGTGGCTCATTGCCTTGGGGGTTGATCTGCCCTCTCACTATGGCCTCCACCCACAAGGCTGTCCATTCCCTCCTTGGGCATTGCTGTGACTGGTGGGACTCCAGAGAAGCCCTGGATGCAGCCACCCCTTCCTGGCAGAGGCCTCCCCAACCTGAGGTGCCTCTAGTCCCCCTCCCCCCAGTCCTGGGCTTCCTTACCTGTGCTGTTAGTCTCCTTGGGGTGCACACACTTGAAGCCGCAGCGATAATAACAGCATTTCCGATTCTGGGGGCACTGCTCATCTCCCACACACTCACTAGGCTCTCCCCGAATACAGCGGAATGGATCGTCGGGGCAACTCCCTGCTTTCTTGGTCCCTAGAGAAGAAGACCAAAGGTGTGAGGACACGGACTAGGCCTGAGCTCCCACCCATGCTTATGAACAAAGTCTGGACTTTCACACTTGGACTTGTCTCCAGAAATCCAGACTTATCTATTTATTAACTCTCTAACAATTGGCAAGTCACTTCCTGACTGTATTTCAGTTTCCTTCTCTCTGACATGATAGGGATGGACTAGAATATCTCCATAACCCCTCCCAGCTCTAAATTCTATGATTCTAAGAGCTGAAAGAAAGGTCTTGGAAGTGAGGTGTGGGGTTGGGGAATGAGGGAAACCTTGGTAATCAACTCTAAGGAAATATAGGATAGCAAAATCATGAATTTAGAGCTCCAAGGGCCCTCAGAAATCATTGTCCACACAAGGACCCAAAGCCCAAAGATGATAAGCAACTCCTCCAAGATCACCCAAGTCAGGAGTGGCAGAGCTGGGATTCAGACTGAGGTCTGCTGGCTCCAAAACCCGCCCTCTCTTTAATAGCACAGGAGGGGAAAGGTAAGTCTTTCAGCAGATGGCAGCCAGAGGGAGAGACACAGGCAGGCAAAGGGTGACTGAGAATGGGGGAGGGGAAGATGATAGCTCTCAATTTCTATAGCACCTTCAACTTAATAAATGGCTTTGCCCACAATAATCCTATGAGATAAAAGCATTAGCATCCCACTTTGTAGATGAGGAAACCGAGAATCAGGGAGGTTAAGAGCCTTATGGAAGTAAGGAATGGATTCAGGCTTCCCGACTCAAACAAATAACCTTGCATTGTGTCATGCTGCCTCCCAGAGATAAAAGACAGAAGGAGATGATGGCAAGAAAACCAGGGATAGGGAAAGAATCAGATAACGAGAATGAGACAGAGAGTGATGATGACAGGGATAGAATGATGAAGAGAATGAACAGGGCAGCAAAAGAGATAGGAAGGAAGGAAGGAAGGAAGGAAGGAAGGAAGGAAGGAAGGAAGGAAGGAAGGAAGGAAGGAAGGAAGGAAGGAAGGAAGGAAGGGAGGAAGGGAGGAAGGGAGGGAGGAAGGAAGAGAGGAAGGAAGAACCAAACTGAAGCTGAAAATAAGACTGAGAAAAAGGTTGAGAGACAGAGATAGACAGTGAGATTCAGACAGAGAGACCCACAGACCATGAAGATGAAGTTTAAACTCTGCACAATTGAAAAACTTAACAAACGATTTGGAAGGGTATAGGGAATCCCCTGTTCTGCATCCTGATGACTCCCCTGACCTCACCTTTTTTAGCAGGTTTAAGGGTCCAGGATGATGCCAGCATCACAAGGGCAAGGGATGCCACAAGGAAAAAGAGGCTCCTGTACTTCATGGTGAGCTGAGACAGAGAACATAGGGGCAGATGGTGCAGGGGCCTGGCATTTATATCTACACAAACTGGTGACGTTTCAGTGTTGGGTTTTTCCAGGTGGAGTTGCACAAGCAGGAAGTTTGGACTTAAATTGAATGATCTTAGAATTCCATTTCTCTGAGAGCCATTTCCCTGTCCCCAGGAGCCTCTGAGGCCCCAAGCATTAGGCCTCAGGTTTTGGGAGAAGATGAGAAAAAAAGGGAGGAGCAGGATGATACACTGTCTGCTAAACGCAATAGTCATATTAGCCCACATGTCTAAATTGCTTTGCTGTTAGAAACATCTTTACTAGATTGGGAAAAAAAAGAGCACAGGGATTATGAAACCTTGGGCAAGTGACTTCCTCTTCCTAGGCCTCTCTAGAGTTTTCTCACTTGTAAAAATAAGTAAGGTATTGGCTAGGGGTGTGGGTGGTGTGTGGGGTGGGGGAGATAGTTAGTGACCTAAATCATTTCCAAGATCCCCTCCATGTCAAATGTGAGAGCTCTTTCAAAGTGAGAACTCTCCACTGGGTTGCTTTCAGATGAGGTCTTCAAGCTTCTAGTTGGATAACCACTTGTTGGGATTGCTGTAGAGACTTTTTCTTCTTAGGTTATTGATTGTACTCAATGGCAGCAGAGGGAAATCCTTTCTGGGAGTGTAAACCCCTGTACACTCTACTACTCCTCAAGAACTGTCCTTGAAACGAGGCTAGGTCTGTGGTTTATGGAGAGGTCAGGAGCACAGGGGTCCCTGAATGGCGATGGAGTGTGGGTGGGTGCTGGATCTGGATGCACCCTGGGTGATGCCAAAGCAATGCCCAGGACTATGCCTGAGTTGATGCCTGGGCCAATTCCCAGGGCTATGTTTCTGGTGGTACGTGGGGCAATCTCCAAGGCTATGTCATAGTTGGTGACTGGGGCAATGACCACAGCTAGATTCCAGGTGTTGCCTGGGGTAATGCCTGAAGTGATGCCCAGGATGTTGCCTGGCATGATGCCCAGAGCTATTCCTGAGTTGGTGCCTGCTGGCACCAAGGGAGGTACCCAGGGTGATGCCAGAGGTTTTGCCCTGCATGATGCTGTGGGCAATGTCCTGGTCAGTGCCTGGGTGATGCTGGGGGCTATGCCCAGGACAATGCCTAGGGAGATGGGTGGTGGGGGCTGAGGAATGTTTGAGCTGATCTCTGGGTCTATGGGGTACAGTGCCCTGTGTTAGGTGTTGGGGCACTGCTTGTCACTGAGATGGACGCAAGCTGGCCAATGGTCTTCCTCTACTCTAGGCTGATCCCATCATACTCCAATGATCCTATGATCTCTAAGGTCCATGTTCTGTGTCTCCTGGGTGGGGTGGGTCTCTGTGAGGATTATAGGATGGGTACCATAGAACATTTGAAAGGAGCTACTAAAAATTAGGGGATGGCAGTGGATAAGAGATAAAATACATGAACAAATAGTTCTCAAAAGAACTGAAAATTATTAACAACCACATATTGCTGCTCCAAATCACTGATCATCAGAGTGCAGATCACAAGAAACTGGAGTTTCACCTCACACCCCGAACATTGGCAAAGATGATAGATGACGGGAATAATCAATGCTGTCAGTACTATGGAAAGACAAGCACATGGATCCACTGTTGGTGGAGCTGTGAATTGGGCCAACAATTTCTGGAAAGCAATTTGGAATTATGCTGAGAAATTACCTTTGACCCATAAATTCCACTTCCAGGCACGTACCCCAGGAGGTCAAAGAGAAAAATAAAGATACGATACATAACAAAATATCTTTGAAGCCCTCTTTTTGTAGCAGCAAAAACGGAAACAGTGGATGTACACTGATGGGAAAATGGTGAAACAAATTGTGGTAGAAGAATATCATCTACTATTGCTGCTCCACATGAAATGATGAATACATAGAGTACAGGACGTCATGGGAAGACCTGTGAGAAATGATAAAGTCAAGTAAGCAGAACGCAGACACAGCAACTACAACAGTGTAAATTCGAAGACAATGAAACTGAGCGCAGTGAAATGATACTGATCCAGGTTGACTCAGGAGAGGGCGTGGGAGAATGCATCGCTTTCTCTTCTTTCTTTGGGGAAATGAGGGAGAGCACTTCTTTTATTGTTTGACTTGATTGATGTCTTGTTTAGTTTTACTGAATAGCTTTTTCTTTCTTATTTTTTTAGCTATTTGTTGTTAGAGATGGCTCTCTGGTGGGACAGGGGAACTGAAACCATAGAGTGATGAGACCTGAGCAGAAACAGTGCTAGCACAATAACATAATTAGAGCTTTCCTTTAGGGCTTTTGTACATTATATAGGCGTCATTCAGGTAGTCTATCTTCCTGGCCATTAGTGATGATGGCTCACCATGGTCCCACTCTTCTACCATTTTTGCCCCACCCAAAACATGGACTCCACCTGCCCCACCCCCCATGGGTGAGCCTTAGCCTTATCTGGCCAGGACACAAACCTCCATACTCCTTCTAGCCCACATTCCCCATTTTAAAGTACCTATTAATATGTTGTATTCCCTTATTAGCATACACTCTCCTTGAGAACAGGGACTGTCTTATTTGCTATCTAGTATTTAGCACAGCGATCAGCATACGGTAAGTGCTTAATAAATGCTTTGTCCATCTATCTATCTCATCTCTGATAAGGGCAGCTAGGTAATTCAATGGATTGAGACTTGGAGTCAGGAAGACCTGAGTTCAAATCTGGATTGAAATACTTATTAGCTATAATGACTCTGAGCAAGTCACTTAACCTCTATTTGCCTCGGTTTCCTTAATTGTAAAATGGGGATAATAACAGCATCTACCTCCTAGGGTTGGAAGGATCTATTGAGATAATGTGTTAAGCACTTAGTACAGTTCCTGACACATAGTAGGTGTTTAATATATGCTTATTCCCCCTGAGCTGAGACAGTTTTTTTTTCAACATTTCTTTCTGTGCCTAAAATTGAGCTGGGTAGTGGGATGAATACTCTGACAATGGAAGATCTGGTTCTAATCGTGTCTCTCTGTGTGACTTTGAGCACATCAGTTAACTCTTTTGCTCTTCAATTGCCCTATTGGTCAAATGGAAATAATAATACCGCTTCTGATATGATAGCTCTGAAAGTTTTTTGAAATTGCCAGTGAGATGGCCTTGCTTCCTGAGATGGCCAAAAGGGTGACCAGGGTGACTCTTGGCTTCAAAATAGACTGAACTCATGGGCTTGCACAGTTCCATGTGGTAAAACTCCGTAAAATAAGACTCTACAGATGGGTGGACTTTTTTATGTCAAGCTTCTTTATTGTTTCAATATTTTAAAGTTTTATATCTAGGATTGTCTAAGTGGCATATATATATATATGTGGCAATAATTTTGTTTCTTTTTTTATGTTTATTACTTCATTTTTTTTCCCTTGTCATTGCTACAGGCCTTGTTTCTAGATCTATATTAAATTTTAGTGCTGACAATGAACATCCTGGCTTTCCTTCTATTCTTATTGGAAAAACTTCTAGAGTTTCTCCATTACCATAATGCTAATTCTTGGTTGTCAATAGATACTGCTTACCATTACACAGTGGTCCATTTATTCCTATGCATTCTTGCATTTTTAAAATAACATATAATATTTTATTTCTCCTGAATGGGTGGACTTTTAAGTAAGATTGATTTAAGCTCAAGTGAGCTTCATTCTATACTTACTCTGGGTGCCTGTAATTGCACATCTATATTTAGAGTGTGCCTTGATTAATCCTCTAGCCTGTATTTGATAGAATTTTATTGCTATTGAACTAAAGATTTGGCCTGGGAGGCTACTGCAACAAATAGCTGGTGACTAAGGAAGAGGAAGGCCAGACCTCAAAGAGAGAAACTTCAAGAGGAGTAGTGTATTGAAATAGAATGTTTACTGAACTTCCAGAAATTTTGGCCTTGATTTGGGGTTCTACCCCTTACTGGCTTTGGGGACAATGGATGAGTTATTTTTCCTCTTTGCTTCTTATTTTCCTCTTCTGTGAAGTAAAGGAATTGGACAAAAGGATCTCTAAAGTCCTTTATAATCCTCCTCTTACATTCTATGTTCTAAGGTCCCTTGCCACTGATTCCGAATTCTGAGGTGATAGAGAAAAAGACTGGAAAAGGCTGGAAGCTTTTTTGTATTTTGTCACATCTATTCTCACCACTCTCCTCCCCCACACATACATCCCACAGCCCACAAGAAAAAGTCCAGCTCCTTAGCCATTCTGGAAGGAGAAAAAACCCCGAGAGAATGAGCCCATACAGCCATCATCCCCATGTCTCACTAAAACTTCCACTCATGCAAGAGATGTCCCAGACTCCCTGCGTCCAGGATAATGCTGTCAATAACCCACTTCACACCAGCAGGTGTAGCTGTGGGTCAAAGTTCATTTGAACACTCAAAAAAAAAAAAATTAAACTCCTTCTTCCCAAAAGAAAAGGGGAGGAGTCGATTCCCAGAGTCATTGCATAGGATAATTGGAAGAGACTTCCAGACCATACTTTTCTCCTTCCCATGGTGTGGCCTTCATTTTGGTCCTGTGCCTCTAACCCTGCCCCTTGTTCAGAGTCAAGAGAGTTGCCAGAGACATCTAAGGTCTAAGACAGCCGGTTTTAGTTACAAATAATGGAGCTCTCAGCTTTAGCCTTGGGTAAATTTTTCCCACATGGGCCATCTCTTTGCTATTTTAGAAGCTCATAAAAGGGCCACTACATTAATAATAAAGTCATTACCATTTCACACTTGTAGCTTGTGGAACTTCCAACTAGTTTTATAGAGAGATTTAGATCTCAAACCTACTTAAATTTTGTGTGTTTCCAACTAATCATTCACTTTCATCCCACAGTTGCTTTTCCCCAGGGCAGAATAAATATACAGACATGCATCAAACAGAATTTAGGGTAGATCATAGTATTTTAGGTCAAGGGAAAAAGGCTTTGGACATCAATTCAATTAGAAGTTACAAACAGACTTAAAAAAAACAGATCTGTTGAAGAATGGGGAAAAGTTGACCTTTTGTAATCACTCAAAAGGTCATACACAGAGACATTAATCTCTAGTCTTGAAATCAATATTGCAGAGATTTATGGAGGCTTCTTTTTCTGTGTGAGGAGCCATCATACGAGCTGCTTTGGCTACCACCATCCATTCCCCCTTTTCTTCCTGCCACCAACTGGTTTCTTCTTTCTCTTCCTATATATTGGTACAATTAGTTCCTCCCTTAGAGGAACTCTGACTGATGATAAAATCTCTTCCAAGGAAGAGAATGAAACTTCTCTTGTGCTGTAACTCCCAGTATTCCCAGTTAGAGTTTCAGAACTTTTTCCCTGCCCACAGAGGTAGCAGTCCAAATACATTCATATTCCCTGTTACACTCTGATAACCCAATCAATACATAAAAATACCTAAAGACTCCAACCTAAAATACAGGATATAGTCTCCAGTTTATCAACCATCTACACACAGGCAGCTGATATATCAACCAAAGGTGCCCTGTGCTTCAACCAATAAGACATAAACTGAACATTAATTGGAAGTCATTTCTTTATAATACAAAGAGAGGGTCATTGAGGCAGAGGCATTCTCAAATGAGGTCCCTCTGAAGTCACCAGACTATGATAAAGTCTTCATTTATCAGGCTCTTCCTCCATTGGGAAAGCATGAATGGTGAGGATAATTCCACAGCAACCTGGGGAAAATACCAATCACCTAGAAAGGTTGGCTCCCTCCCCATACCCCCTCAGGAAGAGGGAGCTCCTGAATGCTTACAGCTCCCTATCTGTCACAAATGAGGAAATTGAGGCCCAAAGAAAGCCTATGGCTTACCCTAGGGCACCTGGCCAGGAAATGTCGGAGCTAGCCCCAAGACTCCACTTGAATCTGTATCCTGGAGGAATGACTCCTTTGTAGCATCTTGCTAGGACTGAGTCCACCAGTATCTCTATTCCTCCCAAGTTATTGGAAAGGCCCAGCCATAAGAATTCCCTAGGGGATTAGGTGCCTGCTGTTCCTAAGGCAAAGATAAAAACTACTGGGCAGAGGGAATGAACTAACATACTCTCTTGCCTTATTGGGACCGAGTGCCAGCTTGGCATAGCCTCTGCATTTTGAGACCCTTGAATCCTGGAGACTGCTTTAGAGGACAGGTATAAAAAGATGAAGAAAAGAAAGGGCTCACTCCCCAAAATAGTCCTGGGATGGAGGGAGGAGCAGAGGAGGAAGAGGCAGGATTATGAAAACAACATAGTATAGTAGGAAGAACTCTAGATCAAGAGTCAAGAGACCTGGGTTCAAGTTTTACCTCTCTCCCTCATTAGTTGTGTGACCTTAGGTAAATCACATTAATTCTCTGAGCATCAACCTCCTCTATATAAGGTGAGTGTTGGTTTTGAATGCTCCAGCTCTATCTATGAAGCAATTTCCCACCCTCTACCCCTCAACTTAGCTGACATACTCACTGAAAGCAAGGGGCAGATAACAGGGATAGCAAGGTGTTACTATGTGGAAGAAATGCAAAAGTGTATCTATACCTTGTTATCCTTTTACAAAGTATGACTAAGTGATCTGATTGAATTAGAAGAGGAACTTGGCATTGGCCAACTGAAAACTGGCCAGGTCTCTGGAGGTTTTTTAAAAAACAAAATCTGCTTGGCTAACATGACAAAAGAGGAAAATGATAAATGTTGAAGAAGATGTGGGAAAATTGGAACACTAATGCATTGTTGGTGGAGTTGTGAACTGATCCAACCATTCTGGAGAGTAATTTGAAACTATGCCCAAAGGGCTATAAACCTGTGCATATCTTTTGATCCAGCAATACCATTACTAGGTCTGTATCCCAAAGAGATCATAAAAAAGGGAAAAGGACCCACATGTACAAAAATAGTTACAGCAGCTCTTTCTGTGGTGGCAAAGAATTGGAAACTAAGGGGACGTCCATCAATTGGTGAATGGCTAAACAAGTTGTGGTATATGAATGTAATGGAATACTATTGTTCCATAAGAAATGATGAGCAGGCAGACTTCAGAAAAACCTGGAAAGACTTGCATGAATTGATGCTGAGTAAAGTGAGCAGAACCAGAACACTGCACACAGTAACAGTAACATTGTGTGATGACTGACTTTGTTAGACTTAGCTCTTCCGAGCAATGCAACGATCTAAGACAATTCCAAAAGACTCATGATAGAAATTGCTATCTACATCTAGACAAAGAATTGCAGAGTCTGAATGCAGATTGAGACATACTATTTTCTCTTTTTTTTTAATTGGTTTTTCTTTCTCATGGTTTTTCCCTTTTTGTTTTGATTCTTCTGTCACAATATGACTAATGTGGAAGAAAAATCAACCAAGCCCTGAAGTCAATTGCAGATAGCTGAGCAGTTTAAGGCAGGATGCATCTGTATAGAACGGCCTTGGAAGACTTCAGAACCGTTACCAGATGGAATCAGTGGGTGTAACAGATTTTCTCTCCTCCCCATTCCAAAAGCCACAATCTTTTTTTGGAGCTGCTCACCCAGTAGGAGACACTGTTTCCACCAAGGAGCAGAGCCAGACAAGAGAGGCAGCATTCTAGGAAGGAAGCAGCTTCAAAGAGCATGACCCCTGGCTGCGGAGAAGAGAGCCAACCATGGACTCAAGGGAGAATTAGAACTCGCAGTTGGCAGTTGACCTTCATAGAGAAGCTTGCCTGGGAAACTCACATGAGTGACCAATCCAGAAGAGACTTTGTGCCCAGGGAGGAGCAGAGTAAGAGCATGAGAAGATGAAGGGCTTCAAACCCTACAGTACTAGAGGTATGGGTTGCCTTGGCCATATGTGTTTCTTAGGTGTATGCCTCACTATCTAAGTGTGTGCCTCCTTTTCCCATGGACGCTGTGTACACTTGCAGAGGTGAAGGGTGGGGGTGAGGATTACACCCCAGGTGTATGGATGGAGAGATGTATTACAGCTACTGTCTTTGTTTTGAACTACTTGGATCTTCTTGGTGTTCACTCATTTCTGAGTTGTGTCCAACTCTTCTTGATCTCATTTGGGGTTTTCTTGGCAAAGATACTGGAGTGGTTTTCCATTTCCTTCTCCAGCTCATTTTACAGCTGAGGAAACTGAAGCAAACAGGGTTAAGTGACTTGCCCAGGGTCACACAGCTAAGAAAGATTTGAACTCAGAAAGATGAGTCTTTCTGACTTCAGGCCCTGCGCTCTATCTACTGCACCACCTAGCTGCCCACATTGGGTCTATAGGCTGATTATTAAAGGTAAGATCACTGGTGGGGATCGCTAAACTATAGTCTGGGGAGTGTAGACCCACAGAATTCCCCTTTAAAATCTAGGAAAGTAGTTCCCTCCTTAGGATGCCAAGCTGTGAATCTCTGATCTCTGAATGGGGTGGGGGACTGGGTGGGGCTACACATAAAATAGGCAAATATTTGCAGTAACTGTCTCACAAGATTGTTATGAGGTAAGTGCTTTGTAAGCCTTAAAGTCCTAGGGAAAAATGGGAATTATTCTTGTTCGGTTACTGGCAGTAGCTGCTAAGAATTTCTTGGACTAATCTGTCCTGATTCCTGTGAGAGTATTGTGATGTTGAGAGAGAGAGAGAAGAGAGAAGAGAACTAGGGTCAAGCCAAAGCTTTTAGAGAAGGGTGTAGGGGAAAGAGGGGAGACATCACTATTGGGTTAAGCAGGCGTCCTTCTCTGGGCCATCCCTGCCTAGACAAGCTTCCCCATCAACTCAGTGACTCGGGAAGGCTTCTGTTGCTATTTCAAAACAAAACAAAAAAATAACGCCCCCCCCAAAAAAAATTCCCCCTAAGGCACATATATATGGCTCATTCCATTACAATCTCTATCTCTAGGACAAAGGCAAGGAAGATCTCCTTTACCTTCCCCCCTTCATCTATCTTTTACCTTCATGTTAACTGAATAGTAATGCTGGTTTTTCTATATTTATTTAGGGATTTGGGGTGTTGGGAGGACATTGTGATTTACCCTAGATGACCTCCCTAGAGATGGTGCCAGACCCCACAGTCCACTTAGAACAACCCCACCTCCAAGCTTTTGCCATCCTAAATTCTTAACCAAATCATATCCATCTCTTCTTCCAAAACCTGTCTCCAAGATAACCCCTTCCTGGAAGCCTTCCTTGATTGTCATAAGAACATATAACTTTAGAGCTGGGAGGAACTTCAGAGATCATTACATGTTCATTTTGCAGGGAAGGAAGCTGAGTCTCCTAGAGTGGGAGGGTCTTGCCCAAGCTTAAACAGGTTAACGGCAGATCTGAGACTAGAATTCAGGTCTCTAGACTTCTAGGCTGGGGCTCCTTCCACCACTACCATGCCACAGCCTGCCTACTCACCTATACACCTCAGACCACTCTGAGCCCTCCTCTGACTACAAGACTTGATAGGGGTGGTCCATACTCAGATTACATGATACTCCTTTTCACCCGATTGGAGTTTCCTTGGTTAGTAAACCATGCCTTCTCTGAATCAGGGGAGCAAATCTGGCTCAGCTGGTGTTAAGACCTGAAGTTTCTTTCTAGAATGGTAATGAGGGGCAGCTAGGTGGTGCAGTGAATAGAGCACCAGCCCTGGATTCAGGAGGACCTGAGTTCAAATCCAGCCTCAGACATGTAACACTTACTAGCTGTGTGACCCTGGGCAAGTCACTTAATCCCCACTGCCAAACAATAAGAAAACAGGAAAAAAAAGGGAAAAAAAATAGAATGGTAATGAGGTGTGGTGTTGGGGACTTTCACCAAAATGTCTTGGGCCTCATTTCTCCTGGGAAGTCCATAGACCAATGACTCAGATCTCTTCCTGCCCCGGGCTTTTGCCTCCCTATGACTGCTAATCTAGCAAGATCTTCTCTCATTTCCCAACCTCACTCCAACTCCCAAAACTGCTTCAGTTCTAGGTGAAATGATGCTTAGGTAGAACTCTGCTCCCTAATCAGCTAATAATCACCTCTAACAACCCCAAGGATTTGACTGAAGAAGTGAGAAATAGAGTGAGAAGTAACTGCTTCCACTCTAGTATCTAGTAATCCTCTAAGCCTAAGGAAGAAGTCAGAGACCTTGGACACTGTTCTGACTCAGCCAACTGGGGATGGGCCAGTCTCTGGATGACTTCTCCTTTCCCAACTCTTTCAGATAAAAGTCCACGAACCTCAGAAGTCATACATGCTAGGAGACTCTGGTTCATACATAGATCCCAGTCAATCAACCAGTCATTGAGGATTTATTATGCATGTACAATGTGCCAGGGATTCTGCTAAGCTGGAGAAACAAAGATTGAAGGAAATAATGGTTGACATCAAAGAACTTGCATTCTGCTGAATGTAAAACAGTTATGCCCCTCCTCATGGGGCCCAGCATTTTATTTTGCACTAAGCATTATGGTAAGTGTTCCAACAACAGGGGTTCAGTCAGTCCCTACTACTTGTGAAGCCCCATCCCAACCTGGGTTTTAAGGACAACAGATGTAATCAGACCTTCACCCAAGCCTGGAACATTTTGTTTGCGATAACACAAAGAAGACAAGGTCCTCCACCCTCCAGGAGTTGGTGCTGATTGTTCTGACCTGTGGGAGGTGCTGTCCCACAGATAACCCAACTTCTCAGAGTTGTAGGGCCAGAGAGTGAGAGTGCTGCCATTTCAGAGTCCAAATATATGAGTCCAACCACCTCAGCTTAGAGAGGGAATCAATCTAAGGAGAAAAAGCCAGATCAGAGACTCATAGTTCCAAACTGCTTCTCTCCCCCTGCCCCCAAAACCCAGTCCTGATTACCTGGATTCTTAGCCTGTCTACACAAAGAAGAAGGGGAATAGAGGTACAGGTTGTTCTTAAACTAGGAATCCTAACAGTTAAGCTCATAGGGGAAAGGTATCAAATTGTACCTAGATCTGGTAAGGAGAGCTTAATTATAAAAGAAGTATTACTTTTTTTGTCTGTTTGTTTGTTTTGGGGCAACTGGGGTTAAGTGACTTGCCCAGGGTCACACAGCTAGTAAGTGTCAGGTCTGAGGTCAGATTTGAACTCAGGTCCTCCTGACTTTAGGGCTGATGCTCTATCCACTGCACCACCTAGCTGCCCCCAGAAGTATTACTTCTTTCAGGGACTTTGGACCAGTAGGTTCTAAAAATAGTGATGGAGCTCATAAAATTCTAATTGAAGAAATCACACACACACACACACACACACACACACACATACATGCACATACAAACACACATGCACACTCCTCCCCCCAATTTATCAACCTAGGCCAATGGATGATTTAGCTGGGAATTCAAACCCAGCTCTTCTGGGTTTCTTCTCCAAATTAAGTGCTCTTTCCACTATACTACATTGCCTTCTGGACACCATGAAATTAACAAGGAAGAGAATGTTCCCCAAAGGTCTAGAATGCCCACAATGCCCGAGTTGATCTTAGACGAGCTTGGGACAAAGGCCCTGGCATTGGGTCACTCATGTGGTGATCAGAAGAGCTCCTTGCCATCAGGAGAGACCCCTACTGGGAAGAAAGGGAATAGGCAGGCAGGATGATGGATATGGGACACAGAGAACAGACAAATACTGGGCATTTGGAGGGGGTGCTGAGGTTGCATAGATGCCATACCTTCCAGGGCCATGCAGAATCTCCCCCACATTCCCTTACAGCACTTCAGGGGGCCTTTGCACTGCCCATCTTTCTCATGGGTGCTTGGGGGCTGTTCATGTGGCACTGCCCATTTGGACACTTTCCTGGCTTTGATGAAGCTGGAGAGAGAAAGTTGGACAAGTTAAAAGAGGCTTCCCCAGAGGCAGGGCATGCTGGTAAATGTTTAACAACAGGCTTGGGGGTAAGGGTATACTGGACATGCTTTTAAGTATAATCTGCATTATTAACATTTTCTTCATCACTTTCTTAAGTTTGGATAAATCAACAAAATTATAATTCAAGCCCTAGTTTATAGTATTGCTTATTTCTGAGGCTCAGTGGATAGGGCACTAGGCCTGGAGTCAGGAAGTCCTGAGTTCAAATCTGGCCTCAGATACTAGCAGTGTGACTCTGGGTGAATCATCTAACCCTATTTACCTCAGTTTCCTCATCTGTAAAGTGAGCTGGAGAAGGAAATGGCAAATCATGCCAGTGTCTTTGACAAGAAAACCCAAAATGGGATCATAAAGAGTCTGACATGGCTGAAAATGACTGAACAACATACTGAAAATTGAACAATACAGTCTGTCATGCTGACTCCAGCACTGTCCCTCTCTGGGTCCAGGGGACTTATCCCAGTTCCCAACCTGTTGAGACCAGAATACCTGGCCTCCCTCCCTATCCCAAACAGACTTGAGTACCAGAGTACCTTTCCTAAAGGTACAAGGTCTGATCATGTCACCCCACCTCCCTCTCAGTAAAGCCCAATGGCTCCCAATTGCCCCTAAGATGATGATATATAAGCCCCTCTTCTTGAACATTTAAATGCTTTCCACAACCTAGCCCTTTCCTACATTTTCAGGCTTATTCTTTACTCCTGTCCTTCTGTTCTTGAATCTAGCTATATCAGCCTACTCCTTGGTCCATGAGTATAACACTGCACAGCACACAACACAAATCTCCCATCTCCAAGCCTTTGCACTTTCTTCTCACCTTCACCTTTTGGAATTGCTGGTTTCCAATAAGACTCAGCTCAAGTGGGACCTTCTCCATGAAGCCTTTCCTGACCACTTCTGCTGCTAGTGTAGCTCTCCCCAAACTACTTTGCATCCATTTTAGACATGCTCTGTACATACTTTTAAGTATAATTG